GGAAGAAGGTCTCCCGCTCATTCCTCTTCTCTCTTGCTTCAGGTCCTGGAGGCTACCGCTGCCATCTTTCTACAGACACAGCACCACATGCTGGGGGCTGAGGGTGGTCCTTGTTTTGGTATGGTTTCCATGACTGGCCATGAAACTGAAGCCAAAGGAATTCCCAGTGAAAATGCTCTCACCTTTGTCCGGGAAGCCAGGGTAACTTTGACTTGGGAATGGCCATGACTACTTATCTCAGAAATTCAAAGTTGCCCTGAGATTTGGCTTTCATTTTCTGGGATGATGTGAAAGCAAGGCTGCTTGTCTGGCTAACCAGTGGAGGAGGAAAGTCCATGGGGCATGGCAGGGTCACTTGTATCTGAACTTCAGGCTTCCTTTGAATTCAAAATTCTGAGAAGGAGGAATGCATTTGGCCCTGTTTACAAGCACAGAGGCTCCTGCAAGGTGAAACCAAGGCCATTTTACTGTTTTTGGAGAGCAGTTAACTGCCTTAGACTGTAGCGCTCTCTGGATGATTTCGTAGCCCTGAGTTCTTCATGAGTCTGATATGGGAAGCGATGTGTACTTTAAAAGACAGGAAGTGGGCATTCTTGCTTTTTAGTTTAGTGGGTTAGGAGGCCTTCCTGGTATGATATTGGCACAGCAGTTATGCAAATCAGAGGATTGAGCTGGTTATAAAAGGAACAAGACAGGCTGGGTGTCAGTCAACATGCCTATAATCCCAGTGGCTCAGGAGGCTGAGGCAGGAGGATCAGGAGTTCAAAACCAGCCTCAGCAACTCACAAGATCCTGTCTCAAAAAATAAAAAAGGCCTGGGGATGTGGTTCAGTGGCTAGGTGCCCCTGCGTTCGGTCCTGACACCAAAAACAATAACAACAATAACAAACAAACAAAAATAAAACAAACAAACAAAAAGAAACAAGACAGAGAAAATAGGACTTAAGCACAATTAGATTCAAAACCAAGATGATTATCCAGGGCAAATGCACAGCCAACTACAAGTGTGGCCAGAGGGGGCATGCTCAGCGTCCACGCTCACCTGCTCTCCAGGAGGAGCCCCTGCGTTCAGCTTGGGAAGCAGGGCAACTCAAAAGAGGTTTCCTTGGTTTTGTTCCTCCCAAACTCCCCACCCAGTGCTGGGGACAGAACCCAGGGCCTCAGGGACTCACACATGTTAGGCAGGTGCTCTACCCCTGGAAAGAGATTTTTAATTGTTTCCATGTTTCCTATGAAATGCACAGAACTCCCGTCCCATGCCTCAGGGCCTCAGCACTGCTGGGGCTGCCCGTGGCCTGAGCTCTGCGGGGTCCCACATGGTGGATGAAGGCCATGTTCCTGGCAACTGCGGATGGTGGAGCAGGCAGGCAGCCCTCTGGCCAGGAGTCCCAAAGGCACAACCCAGCAGGACACTGCTTACAGGCCCAAGCTGCCACCAGGAATCCAGAGGAAGAGGCCACCACGGCCAGGCCCTGCCTGAGGCCCCCAGTGCATCTGTCCCTAGGCCTCGTGACCATGGCTCTTCCTTCCACCTCAGTCCCTATATCCCTAGGTCCCCAGGCCTGGTGCTGATGGCACTCATGTCCTCCTCAGCCTTCCCTTGGGCAGGGCATCCTCTCTGCTCTTGGGTGGGTCCAGGCAGTTGAAATGCTGTCCCTCTGAAGTCCCAGCACCTGCTGGCAGTGTGGTGAGGCCCCCCGGAGATCCTGGAGGTCCGTATCATTTCACTCCCACTCTTGGTTTAGCCAGAACTACAAGGAGGTGATGCAGGACTCCCTAAAAACACCCCCACCTGGTTATCCCTCCTGAGGCTTCCTTACTGCCTCAGGAAATGACGTCATGGGGCAGAGCTGCCAAGAGCTCCCCTCTTTCTGATTTGCATCTGAGAGTGACACATTTTAAAATCAGCCTACTTGGCAGCAGCGACAAGCACCCTCCAGTTCCTGGAAAGAGGAAACGGATGCGTGGTGATAGACAGGAAAGCCCTCTCTGCCCAGCACCCATGCAATTGGTGATGCTTCCACCCGGCCTCACAGCTGGGCTGCTGTGGGCGACCATGGGCTCCGCCTCTTCTTATGCCACCATAATATGGGGAGCTCTGTGACCTAAAAACCCCTCACAAGTTGAGAGAGACGTCAGCACGGATCATGATTCCTCCTGAGAACTAATACATCCAGGAGGAAGTAACTTTAGGAGACAGAGAATCAAAGAACCCACTTCTGGCCTCAGCTGTACCTCACCAGGGTCAGAACAGACCACAAGATGTGGAAAAGTAAATAGGGCATTGTGGGAACATAAAAGAATCTTGTAGCAAATTATCAGCAGGAAGTGTGAATGTCTGGTCTGGAGGGTGGAAATAAAAGTAGTGCTTTTCCATCTCGTTCTCCTGCACCACAGTGCAATAAGTAGACCCAGTAGCTTTTAAAACAAGGGCTGTGTTTCAACCACGGGCCAATGAAGAAGAGAAGTGTGTGACAGTGAACTGATTATTTCTGGCAAATTGTTATCATTTAACCAAAGCGACTGAATGAAGGGCCTTTGGGATTTTTCACTCAGAAATTGGGACACTTTCATTCTGCACAGTCAACCATTGTCAACATACTTATATAATAATAATTTATATTACAACTGACTGCAAAACTGCTTACCCACCAGCCTATCTCACAATGAACGTGTCAAATCTTATTTAGAAAAACTAAGTGATCGCCAGCGCTAAAGGCGATTGCTCTTTGTAAGTGCCAGAGCTGGGCTGGGGTTGTACTTCAGGGCAGCCTCAAGGGCCACGGAAATCAAGGCTTTGCAAACACATCCCAAAGCGCGTTTGTAGATACATCTGTGCTTCTGCTGCATCTTGATATCCATATTATTGTTTAGAGCGAATTATTTGCTCATGAAAGATCTCAATTGGACCTTCTAGTTTCAGCCCCAGTAGCTAAAGGGAGAGATAGAAGGGTGAACAAGATTTAAACTAATTTTAAAATTAGGGCATGCCCCCAGTGACCTACCTCTTCCAGCCACTCCGTCCTGCCTAAAGGGACAGTTGGGCATTGAAAGAAGGGATGAAGCCATAAGCTGAAAAAGTACGGGTCACTGCCCTGGAGATTTTCTAGAGGAGACATCATAGCATGTTGGTTCAGAACACAAGACCAGGCTAGCGTCCCAACTCTAAGGGACAAGGGTTGCCCCTGCTGAGGACTTTCACTCACTGGTGTAATGCTAGCTGTTGGAACAACTCCACAGAGCTCAAGGGCTTGAAGGTCATTCCTGCATATTCCTCACTCCTGCAGGGGTTCCCAGGAGAACCCTGCTGGACAGTAGGTGACACCCCCCCCCCCCATGCAGGCACTCAGGGTGGAGGTCCTCCACTTTGGTCATCTTCCAGGTTCCTGTGGTTGCAGCAGAGGGCAGACCCTCTTGAAAGTGGGGTCTTGGGTGGAGTAGACACCCCTCACACCCATGGACGTTTCCTTGGTGACAATCAGTCCTGGTTCACAGCTAGATGCAAGGACACTGGGAATATCCCTGCCCATTTAGCCACTTCCCTGGGACAATACTATAACCATGAATTTGTTAATCAGGTTTGTATCACTGTGACTAAAAGACCTGGCAAGAACAACTTAGAGGAGGAAAAGCTGGTTTGGGACTCATGGTTTCGGGGTCTCAATCCATAGATGGCCGACTTCATTGCTGTGGGTCCAAGGTGAGACAGCACACATGGCAGAAGGATGCAGTGGAGGAAAGCAGCTCACTTCATGGTGACCAGGAAGAAGAAAGGCAGGGGGGACAGCAGGGAAGATAAATCCTTCCAGGGCACACCACCAGTGACCCACCGCTTCCAGCCACACCCCACCTGCCTAAGGGAGGAATAGGGGCACTGAAAGAAGGAATAGGGCCAAAGCAAGACCTAAACCCAGTCTGAGTACAGCTTGTAGGACACATGGCTGTGAGAGGTGGACTCAAAGGGCTTGGGCAATCCAGCCCCTCTGGCCTTGCCAGTTGCAGCTCACATGGGCTCCTTTAGACTGGCTCTCTCCACAGTCAGCAGTTTTTCTGGATGACAGTCACATCACTGGCATCTCTTAATTCCTAGAGTTTCCATTCCAGCTTCAGCTTCACTGTCACAGTTTCATGCATGGGCCTCTCAGGGACAGCCTTCAGAGGACTCTGACCCTGCTATACCTTGCCTGGTTTCCCACTGAAATCTCCGTGGAATTGCCCCCTCCTGATCCCTTAACTCCAGAATCCTGCATTCCTGCAGAACCAGCCCCACATGGATGATGCCAAGGTCTGCCATCAGCTCCTGCAGTAGGTAAGCCTCCTGGAATCACAGCTGCAGCAGCCTCTGAGTGCCTGAGTGGTTGAGCACAATGCAACAGCGTCCTGTGGCCCATGTGTGAGCAGGGTGCCTCCACAGTGGTCTCCTCTCAAAGGAATTTCCCCTTCTACATCTTTGAGTCTGTAGTGAGTGTGGTCTCCTGAGATGCCGTCAAGGAATCATTCCTGGTATCTTTGTACAAAGTACTTAGCATCTCTTTATTGGCTGCAATCTTTTTAACAATCTTCCTTGATCCCAGTTTTACATGCACTTTTCCGGTCAAACCCCAAGTTTTAAAAATCCTTCGGCTCTGGTTTCTGCTCCCAATTCTCAAAGTAAACCTGGGTAAACCCTACCATCAATGTCCATGGCACTGACTCAATGACGGACTGTCTTAAAATTTCCTCCACCAGGTTAAGTAGTCTACCTTTGAATTCAGCCTCACATTCAAACCATCACAAGGAGCATGACGGAGGCATGAGGGGTTGCCCCAAAGCTCCCGTATTAATGCTGGAATATTCAGAGGTGAAACGATTGGATTGCAAGAGCTGTGACCTGATCAGCCCACCTTGCAAGCTGAAAGCAACTGGCTTTCACGGACTGTGGCTCCTAGGTAGGGTGTGCAGTTGTGAAGGGGAGAAGAGAGAGAGAGACAAGCCGGCTATTGTTAGTGAGCAAGAAGACATATCATATGAAACAAAGTTTTAATTTTATTTTACATATTTATACATAAAACTTCCAAGAAACCTTCTGAAGCCAACAGAATGTTAATAGCACATCTGAAAATGAACTTCAGGTAGTCAACATTCACAAAATGTTGAGAACTGATTAAGATACACGTTAAGGAGAGCTACGACTTCACTAGGAGGCAGGCATGTATTTTGACTTGTATAGCACCGTCATTTACAGTTCTTAAAACTACAGCGAAGGATGAAGTAGTCAATGCAAAATACCGCTCCAACCGAAAACCTCTAAACAAGTAAAAATAAAGTTAAAACCACCCTCGGATCAACCATGGTTTGTGATGGTGTAAGTACTGTACATTTTTTTTTGTAACAACATTTTATTAAAATGCCTGATATTAAGTGGCACAAGTAAAAAATTAAAATAAATTAAGAAGCAAAGGCCGATCACTGGACATGAAGCTTCAGACACCATCCATGAATGACAAGGCTGTTGGTCTATCTCTGTGCCACCTTCAGCAACAGCACTGCAAACCACAGAGGCAAAGTCAGCTCCGCCGGGCTGTGGCGGGTGGCTCTCACTTGGCAGGCATCTTCTCTGCCATGTGCTTCTGCTGACTCTCAGCATGTCTGTGAAACGAACAACATGACTATTTAACAAGAAAGACCAGACTGCTTTCCAAGCAACACTGTGATCTCCTCGGAACTGAGCTCCAGAGTTGCTCAAAACGAGACGTGCGAATCAAGGAGATGTGCTTTATTCCAACCGACCTGACCTCTTTTATTTCATGCCCTGTACATGATTCCTTTCATTTAGGAAGCTGGTAACCTGAGGTGGACTGATGGGTCTACCCTTGAAAACAAAAGTGCTGTGTTTAAAAATGAAGAGAGGGAAGTATGATTTTAGATTGGGTGACAGTTCTCTTACCTCGGAGGCTATAATATTTTCTGACGCCAGTTACTGCCTGATTTCCTTCTTAGAAAACCCGTTGGTGTATTGGTGTATGCTGGTGTGCGCGCGCGCGCACACACACACACACACATGTGTATGGGTGTAGGTTCCAGCCCTGCTCTAGGAACTGTGGTTTAATTAGCTACAGGGCAGGCTTAGCTCATTGGGCATTAGTGTATTTCCTTTAGTGTGTACCTTTAGTAACAAACATTTAAAAAGGGCCTTTGACGTGTCAGGCATGGCACCTGAAGCTGGGATTTCCTGCAGAGCAGGAATGGGGGTCTCTGTTCTCATGGGAATATGTTACAGGGAAGATACAAGAAAGGAAGAATAGCAAATAAGAGAAAGGCAGATAGAAAATAAGTGTTAAGCAAAAAGTCACCGTGAGGTGCTGTGACCGCACACACACACGCACTCCCAGACCCAGAACCCATGCCAAGGACCTAATTCCCTCTGGCATAGCCAGTGTCCCACAATGTCCCTGTGGGGGTTAGTGCCTCTCTATGTGCATGAGTTCTCCTTGGCTGGGCCCAGGGCACCGTCACGGCGGTGGGGTGGGGATGAGTCTTCTTATTCACCAAGCTCTGCTGCACCATGAGCCCAGAGTTAGCTGACCCAACAGTTGGACAGCAGGGACAAAGGGTGGCCTGCAGGGTGGACACATCCCATAGCATGGGGCTTTGTGGGCTGAAGACAGTGGTTCTGAAGGATGAATATAGAAAATGATAAGTTAGCAAGAGATTAAAAAAATGTCTCAGGCTGTGGTTTGCAGCTGTAATAGCGTTTAGGGGCAGGCTCTGTGTGCTGCCTGCACCCAGGGAGCTGGTAACATCAAGCCTAACTCCCGGGCTTAACGCAGAACATTCAGCGCCTCTGGTGCAGGGAAGACAAACTGCAAATACTCTCAAAAATAAGGAAGTAAAATAGCAAATAAGAGAAAGGCAGATAGAAAATAAGTGTTAAGCAAAAAGTCACCATGAGGTGCTGTGACCACACACACACACGCACTCACAGACCCAGAACCCACGCCAAGGAGCTAATTCCCTCTGGCATAGCCAATGTCCCACAATGTCCCACATGCAGCAGCCCACAATAAATGGTTATGTCCATCTAAGAGTAAAGGATCTCAGGGAAGGACGCTGTTAGCTCTCCACTTTTTAGAAACATCACCCATTAGTAGACCTGCCACGGCCCTGGGTATGTGCAAGAAAGAACAAGGGTCACTTTCTCAAAGTACCTAATGCCTGTTGCTCAAGCAAAGTCAGGGAAGTTCCTAGAGCAGGGCTGGAACCTACACCTACACACACACACACACGTGTGTGTGTGTGTGTGTGTGTGTGCACAGACATACACCGATACACCGACGGATTTTCTAAAAAGGAAAACAGGCAGTAACTGGAGTCAGAAAATATTACAGCCTCTGAGGTGAGAACTGTCACACAATCTAAAAGGAGGTGTCAGAAGTCCTCAGGCACTGAGTAGTCATCGCTAAGGGAGGGCCACAGTTGAAAATCAAGTCTACCTTGGATCAGGGAGGGTTCTTTAAAGAGGCTAGCACCAGGGGAGTGCCAGTATCACTTGGGAGCTTAGAATTTCTGAAGCTCAGGACCCATAAGACAGCTTAGTAAGACCCTGTGTCCAGGCCCCCAGGGGACAGCTGAGCCAGAGCCCCTGGGGTGGGACCCTGCAATCAGTTTTTTTCCTGGGTGGCTCCCATGTGCAGCCAGATGTGATGCCCAGTGGCTTGGACTGAATCTAGAATGGCTGGTGGAGAACAGCCGAGGGAGAGGTGAGCCTATCAGCCCACAGCTATGCTCCTGGCCTTCTGAGGCTGTGGGGCTCTGAGGCAGCTGCTGCTGGCATGTGTAAGAACCCCTGGGCTCCCTATAGTAGAAGGCTGTGGAGATGCCATACCCCAGCCTCCTGCAGGACTCCCCAACCTGCAAGGCAGTGATGTCTCTGTTCTTATCCCGTGGCTCTGCCTGCACGCCCAGGACCACCCCCCTTAGAGGTGTCAGGAGGTACACTGCCACCTGAGTGTGAGCCAGACCCTGAGAGGCAGGAGAAGCCCTGTGGTGCCCCTTTGTGTGAATGGGGCTGTGAGAAGGGCACAGGAAAGGCCTGCATCACAGCGAATCAGAGAGTGCGGAGGGTTGTGGAGTGTCAGAGAACATAGGTCCTGGTCATGTATTTCACAGGCTTCCCATGATCTCGATATCTAAATGTGAGCTCTCAGATTAACCAGAGGGGTCTGCTGTACAGCTGCTGTTCATGGTGTCTGGATGTGTCTGCAGGTGGCAATAGTGACATCTGAGTGTCACTGTGAGTTCTTGATGCTGGCAGACATGCTTAGAGGGCATGAGAAGACTACAGGATTTTTAAAAAGGGCCTGCATTAGCTCTGCAGCATCCATTCTGCTACCAAAACTCTTTCTACGGCACACACTGGTAGCGGACTATTGAACCCCATGTTTTGGGCTAAGACATTCCTGCGGGAGGTGCCAAGAGCATCCGTGGGAGGATTCTGGGCCTGCGGTCAGCCCCCTGTGCTGTGAGACGAGTACTGGTCTTTCTCGGGGCCTCTACTCTCTAAGCCACATTTCTGGTATCAATAGCAATTATTATCTCCTGGCTTAGGGACTTCATGCGCACCGTCTCAGGACAGGTGAATGGTAAACATGAAGTCACGAGAACTTATATGCAGTTCATGTCCCTCACACACGTAACCTATGCTGCTCGTGCTTGATGAGGGATGCATATGCATGGCAGGGTTTCTATAAGAGAAACTACTAGGAAATGGAAGAGGCTGACCATGCAGGCTGGCTTCCTCATCCCCCAGGAGGGATGCATTTTTTACCTTTTCACAGAACGGCAGGAGGAGCTAGGAACTCAAGTCCTAGAGCTTCCTATGTGAGAAGAATCTGGGGCACAGGGCTGTGGACAGAGGCCAGAGTGTCCCTGCCTCCTGGGCATGGCAGGGGCGCACTGACCACCCAGCTGCTCATGTGCTGGGAACACACCAGCATGGAATGGCTGAGAGCCACTACTAGGGGACAGTCTTCCAGCATAAGGTCCTCCTAGGCTAGAGCTGTTCCCAGGGTTCAAGAGAAGTCGTGAGAAGTCAGAACGCACAGACACTTCATCACGGGAGGAAGACACTGCTAAGATATTTGCTAAGGACGCACAGGAGCTGCGTGCATGCAATCAGAGGTGACCTTCCCCAGGGCCTGCTCTGCCCCCATGGGGGCTTCTTCCTGCCTGTGGAGAATGTGACCAGACTTACCTGGTCAGGTCCTCGATGTCCACCAACATGGCATCTTGCTCTGTGTGCAGCTCGTCTCGGATGAGGAGCAGCTGCACCAGCTCTTCGTTCAAGCCTGGGGCAAAGAAAGGACACTTAGAAATGGGTCCAGCTGCAACCAGGTTAGAACATGTGCTGTCTGCAGCCCCCAAGCGAGCATATATGACCCGCGAACACACACACAGCCAGATATCACGGCAGACACCACAGAGATTCACATTCTCATGCTGACTTCCCCTAAGCCAGGGAGCAGTCATCAAGAGGGCATGTGACCTGTCCCCAAGCTGTGAGGTGCTAAAGGAAAGGAATGGAGCCAGGAGGATACGTGGAGTCTCCCTGTCCATTGCTCGGGACCAGAAAAGCTTCAGATTTTAGGTTTTTTTTTGCATTTTGGAATATCTGCATAGATTTTACCTGGTGGAGCAGCCCTAATTTGAAAATCTTCAAACTGAAATTGCTCCAAAATCTAAAGATTTTGAGCAATTTGGAGCACTGTGGATTTCAGATACAGAGATGCTCAATCTCTCTCTCTCTATTTTTTTGGGGGGGTACCAGGGATTGAACTCAGGGACACTCAGCCACTGAGCTCCATCCCCAGCCCTATTTTGTATTTTATGTAGAAACAGGATCTCACTGAATTGCTTAGCACCTTGCAATTGCTAAGGCTGGCTTTGAACTTGTGATCCTCTTGCCTCAGTCTCCCAAGCTGCTGGGATTACAGGAGTGCATCACTGTGCCCGGTCTCAATCTATATTTTCAATTACATTCATATCACAGTGGAAGAAGAAATTATAGCCAGGCATAGTGGTACACGCCTATAATCCCAGCGGCTCAGGAGGCTAAGGTAGGAGAGGATTGCAAATTCAAGGCCAGCCTCAGCAACTTAGTGAGGCCCTAAGCAACTCAGTGAGACCCTGTTGCAAAATAAAAAAAATTGAAAGGGCTGGGATGTGGCTCAGTAGTTAAAGAAATTGTTACTGGTACAAAAATAAGTTGTTAGGGTGGGCTGGGGTTATGGCTCAGTGGTACAGTGCTTGCCTAGCATGTGTGAGGCACTGGGTTCCATTCTCAGTACCACATATAAGCAAATAAATAAATAAAGGTCCCTCGATAACTAATAAAAATATTTTTTAAAAAACGTAAGTTGTTAGGGAAGGGTGGGATTCTGTTTGGAAAAAATGTGAACGACGCATCTGGAGCATATTAAGTTTCCACCTTCACCTTCAGGATGCTCCTGCTGCACTGAGAGTCAGAGGGGCCCCTGGGCACCTGATAGATGCATCAGACACCCAGCCAGAGGTGGCAGGCGTGACAGAGGTGCAGAGCCTTCCTGTACATCCCTGGTGCAGCCTAGTCTAGGAAGACAGCGGTGGGTCAGGTTTCAGGGATAGCTGGGTGTGTAAGGCCTGAAGAAATAATCCCTGAAATCTCTGGACAATAGGGAAGACATGCCTCAGACTAAACACTGGGTGACAACATGAGTAGGTAGAGAGTCACTAGTGACCTACCCGACGCCATGCCCTGGGCCAGTGTGGCTCCTGCTTCTGACAAACTCCAACAAGCGTGGGCTCTCTCTGGCTTGTCCCCCCCCAGAGAAGCCAGGAACAAAGGCTGTCAGCCCAGGCGTGGGGAGGGCCCTCACTGAGCTAGAGCTCCAGGTAGTCTACAGCCCCTGGAGGTGTTCAGACAGGGCCCGGAAGTGCTCTCAGAGCCCTGCTCCCAGTGGGTGCTGCCTGCCCTTAGCTCAGGGAGCTTCCAATTTAAAAACAATGGGAATGAATCACACAAACAGGTCGAAAATTTCACTTCCTGAAAAGGAGGGATGGTAATCTTATTTACAAATCTCAGGAAGATGATTCATGATAAAAAATCTTAGAAATCCCCCTCAGTTCTTGAAAGAATAACACTCCTAGTAATTAATCCTCAACCGACATTAAAATGGAAGCATGGTTTTGTAATCCTGGGAATCTATGGTTTCTTCGTCAAAATCTTATATCTGATCTTTTGACTTGAAAACCATCAGGACTGTTTTAACTTGGTGCTAAACATGTATTCAAACCTCTGGGCCCCAGAACTTTTTTTCCTAATACAAGATTTAAGCTTTTATTATGGAAAACTTAAAATTAACACAAAAGCAGAGAAAAGTTCAGTGAATCCCAATGTACTCAACCAGCTTCATCAGCCTCCTGCCAACCTCGTGTCATCTAGAACCCTCCTCTGCATCCTTCAAAGCAATTTCAGATGCTGCACCATTGAACCGTCAAGGCTTTGGAATCCATCTCTAATACTGAATATGGGAGCCCATGCTTAGTCACCCCATAATTTTCACACATTGGTAATATATACTTTCAGGGCCTAGAATCCCACAAAATCAGTCTAATTTGATTTGACTGAGATGATGCCTAAAACACATGTCTACACCAGGAGGTCTAACTGTGCGATAAGTGACGTCACCTACTGCACCACGTGTGGAGGCAGATGTGAGTTTAAAGATAACGTGCTGGGAACTGGGAACTCCAAACTCAAACAAGAGCCTGACAGTTCCCTTCCTTTCCCCATGAACAAAGGAGGCACCCCAAGAAACTCGGCACAAAGGCACCAAACCCAACAAGGGGCGCCGACTACCAGGTTCATGCGCGACGGCACTCACTTTCAATCTGGGAGTGGAGGTCATTGACGATCACCTGCAGCTGGCCCAGCGTCATGCCGCGCAGGTCGGCTGGCTTCAGGCTCCTCTTCATCAAGCACTCGCTGATATGGGGCAGATGAGGCAGCTGGAGACGGGGAGAACCCGAGGAGTGAGTGGGCGCACGCAGCCTGAGCATATCTCAACTCAGGAGACCCACCACCCCTGCCAGCTTCTGGGGCCTCACCCATCACACTCCCTGTGGGCCACCCACACAGAGTGCTTGGCCACGGGCACTAAAGCCTTCTGCCTGGTCTTAGCATGAAGGATTACCAGGGACCAATGACACCAACATGGGTAGGACCATCGACATAGCTGCTGCTTAGAGGCTCACCCCACGCCCTGCGCTTGGGACACCACCAGAATCCTCCCTTGCTCTGACCCAGAAGCTACCAGCCCTGTTTCACTCCAGGGCCCCACAGCAGGTCCACAGCAGGACTGCACCAAGTCACAGTGGTCACTGCAGCAAGAGTGAGTCTGTTGCAGCCTCCAGTCCTGTCCTGAGGCTGCTTCCCACATGCTCCCAGGGTGGCTCAGGCCGCCCCTAACAAGCAGCTCTGAATCAAGAGCTTACTTTTGTGAAAGCTGTTGCATGGTCTTTCAGCACAACGATCGATAGAAATAAGAAATGAGCTGCATTATTTCTCAGGGACAGTACTTTTGTGAACTGCCCCAGAGAAACCCAAGTTTGCATCACTTGGGGAAAGGACAGGGGCAGCACCAAACTCTTGTGGCTCCCCTACTCCCCACACACGCGCACACACGCACTTGCAGCCCAACCACGGCCACATACCAGATCCGCCACGGGAGACTTCTTCCTGTTTTGCTTCTCCACCTCCACTTGCATCTTGGCCATGGGCTTGGCCATGGCAAGGGCCATCTTGGCTTCAGCCTGTAGTTTCTTTTGCCTTGTGAGGAAGTCCATGTCGTCCAAGGACTCGGACTCCTCCTCAGTAGTGTCTCTATCGGAATAGGAAGAGCTCTGTTTGCTCTGCGAGGGAAGAAAGAGCAACCTGAGCTTCCCAGCCAGTCACGTCCCGCTGGTGAAGGCCCAGCCTTCCCGGGGCTGAGCGCCCTCTCCACCAGCTCTGCTCTGTTCCCTTTGACCCGTGTCAGTCTCAAGTTGCAGGAAAAGGTCTATTTTAAAACAGGCTCTGACTCTGGCATACATTAGTATAATCAATAACAGGGAAAAATACTATCAGAGCGAAGGTGGTGTGCAGGTCCTTGGGCAAACAGGACTTGGGTATCCAGTGATGTCTGAGGTCGCACCGCTCAGCAACCAGCACAGAGAGGGTGAGAGACCTTCCAGAGTGGAAGAGCTTCCAGCAACAAGAACACCACTGTTGGGCCAACTTACGCAATCGTGGCAAAGAAACGAGTCCCATTCCAAGCCCAAAGGGGAAGGATTCTGAGCATCTTTTCCCTTTAAAGTTTTAACAGTGCATCTGATCTCTCTTACTGTCTAACATAAAAGTAGTCCTTAACTTTAATAATGTTTACGTATCCTGATTGTGTCTCAACTTCTCCTTTTCCATTACTGTCCAGTTTTAAAAGCATGCGATTCACAGAAATGTTTTTTTTCCATCTCTGAACATTTGCTCCTGACTCAAGACAGAAAAACAGCCAAGTAGCCACAGACCCAAGGGCACCTCTGCTCGGAGCAACAGCTTGCCACAGAGAATGGGGGTGTCCAGGCTTGGCTGGGAGCACGGGCTTACCCTGGGGGATGAAGGAGTGTCTAAACTCAGCTGGGAACACAGGCTTACCATGGGAGTAAGGAGGTGTCCACTTTGGCTGGGAAGGGGGACATGGGAGTGTCTACGCCTGGCTAGGAAGGGTAGGGGGCACATATGTGCTAGGCCTGGAGGGGGAACGAGGAGGTGCCTATGCTTGGCTGGGAGGGGGGCGGGGAGCACGTGCAACCGCCTGGAGAGCAGGCTTACCACGGGGGACGAGGGTGTGTCCAGGCTGGTCTCGGTCTTGCTGTCGTCAGCATCACTGTCCTTGTCGCTGCCGCTGTCGTTGACAAAGCAAATCTGCAGGTTCATCCCACTCTGGAGTCTGGAAAGAAATGGGACACAATTCTACTTAGTGGTTTGTCACTGCAGGGGACAGCATTATCCGAGCTGCCAACAGAGGTGGTTTCGCCTATTCCTCGTGTGGAGAAACGGCTGACGATACTACCCTCCGCTTACAGACCACTTGCTAGAGGATTCCTGATATTCTATTCATTATTCTACACCAGGTTCATGTTATGTGAAAAATGATTACAGGCCAGACATTATAGTACCCAGAGTAACACCAGAAGAGTCAGCACCCGATACAAATGTGCTGAGCCACTGAGTGCACGGGCTTGTCAATCAAGATGAATGGGGTCCTTGGCCAAATAAGGCCACCTTGGTGTCCTCAGGGTGCTGTCCTGGGAACCATGCAGAAACTTACTAGCCAGCATCCAAGGGCAGAGCTCTTGAAGACAGTCCTTTCTGGCCCAACAGAACAGGGTGGTCTAATGGAAGGCTTTATGTATGGTAGTTGCCAAAAGCCAGTGTCAACTGGCTAAGAGAGAACACCCCAGGTTCACCCCAGAGAAGTACAAGGGAACTGCAGACTCAGTCCCCAGGCCTGGTCTCAGGGCAGCAAGCTGCAAAGGCCACCCCCTGCACAGGTCTCCAAGCAGAGACCCCTCAGAGCCCGGCATGGGCACAGGGGCCCTGGAGCTATAGGAGGTGTGAAGGGAAGCCCAGCTGGGGACACTGTGGGTGTGACTGTCCTGAGCTCCTTTTCAAGTTGAACGCCTTCCAGTACTAGTTGGTAACAAAGCAATTTTAAAAAGTGATTTCCCAGCATCTCTAGCAGCCCAGCCTCGTGTGAATGTAGGGGCATCAGGGGGGCTCCTGGCAGGAAGGGAGCCAGGAGCACAGCTCAGCAGGGTTAGGGCAGAGGACACTGAGTTTGCTCTGGCAACTTTACTGCCACAGGAGAAAGGCGGAGAGGAGCTTATTGGATGTTTGGCACTTTTTTTTTAGTTTTTAGTTTTCGGTGGACACAACATCTTTATTTTATTATTTTTTTTATGTGGTGCTGAGGATCGAACCCAGCGCCCTGCGCATGCCAGGCGAGTGCGCTACCGCTTGAGCCACACCCCCAGCTCCTGGCACTTGTTTTTGAACCTTAAAATTCTAGTGGTAGGGACGCATCACAGACATTGCTCACATGATGCATTTAAAGTGCCTCTGTGAAAATAACAGACCCCAGAAAAGAAAATGAAAACAAAAACAAAAACATCCAATTTAACAGAGGCACAATTATGAAGGGTGTGCACTGCCACCTATTGTCACATTCCATAATGACTGGAAATTTCAGCTTATTTCCCCTTTAAGGAAATCCACCTTGGCCCACAGTACTGTAGGTGAGGAGGGCCTGGCACAGGGCTGCCTTCCTGGAGGAAGACACAGGTTCCCATGTGATCAGCCCAGGGCTTGCAGTCAGAAGGACTGAGGGTCCAAGTCCTCACTTCCTCCCCAGGCACAGCACATCACACTGCTATGAACCTCTTTCCTTGGGGTGAGTGACACACACTTCACTGTTGTGCAGGAGGGACGAAGAGGCTTTCAGAACCTGGCACAGGTGTGTCAACTGTCCTCTCTCTTCTCACGGGAGCTCTGGACCAAGGAGCACAGGCTTTTTAGAGGAGATGTGACTTTCTAAGGGGACCTCTTGAGCCACTTGCTCAGGTTCCACTTGCCTGTCTCCAAAATCCCTGATGCAAAGTCAGTTCCGAAAGAACATCTTCAGCTCAACCACAGGGTCCTTCCGCTCGGTCGGGATTCACCTCCTTTTAACTTTCTTCTACTGGAGGTGTTTCTTGGGGCCATCTGTTATAGTTAGGTTTCCTTTTGATCCACATGAACTAGGTTTTAAAATTTTAATATCTGTAGAGGGCCTAAAACTAAAATGAATCCATTTTAAATCATAAAACTCAAGGTTTATGGTTTGGAAGATGATGAAAAAGAAACTTTGCAAATTAAAAGCACACATTTTTAAAGGCAAGCCTAATTTGAATCTAGGATTATGCAGCTTTTTCTATTTGTTGAATAAAGTCTTGCAAGAGCCAGGCCACTGGATATACAGATTATAAAAATATATACATAAAAAAAACCCAACATAACATCATTCCAAAGCAAAGCCTAATTCTGAAGAAAGCTGACTTTAAATTCTGCCATTCTGCATCACAACTGGCCTTCTATTAAGGATCAGTCGGTACCCACATTGCCCATCTAGGCCATTTCTAACTCAGGAAAGGAAAAGGGAAACACTTAGCACCAGGTGAGCTGAGAGGCCACCCAGGAGAACCAGGACACCACCCGGGTACCAGCTCATCACCCTGGGAAACAGCAGGGCTCCATACAGGGACACCGACCAGAACTCACAGGAAAGGCACGTGCAGGAAACACCGCAGCCAGTGATCAGGAGATTTAGTAGAGACATCTTAAGACCGGCTCAGGAGGGATTTGCTTGCTTTTAGCCTGCAAGTAGGCTTTAAGAGGAAGGCGGCTCTGGGTGAGATTCAGCCTGACCGTGAGGTGAGCCAGCTACCCAGCCCACTGAAGGCCTGTCTGCCACAGGCTGGGGAGCAGATGACCCTCTGGAGGCTCACTTCTGAACACTGCGGTTTCCGGCTGCAGAGCATCTGGCCTTACTCTCAGCCAATCTCAGGCTGCAGGGGGCTGACTTGCCTGCACCTCTCAAGCAGTCTATGGTGGGAACAAAGCAAGATCCTCGTCTTCTTGTTCGCAGACGTCATCCACGGTATCTACTGCCAGGCTCCCTGGTGTTCTGAGTGGCACTGGGCAGGCACAACCTGCAAACGCACCTGGCTTTCTGCTGCTGGTTGGTTTTACTTCGGGAAGGTTTGAGTCCTGGGTAGCCCAGAACCCTCTCCTCAGGTACCGAGGTGACTCAGCAGCACCAGGGCCACTGACAGGGGTGCCGGAGCCTGGGAAGATGAACTAGGGACTCCTGCAGACAGCAGCGGGAGCAGAAGTGGCCTCCCTGGGAGGTGCCCAATGGCCAGTGCTGGAAGCACACCGAGTGGGGGCCGTTCAGCACTGACGTCTGCTCACACTCCTAGAGAACACAACCATGGAGGTGCAGCCAGGCGCAGTGGCCATGACTGTGATCACAGCAACTCGGAAGCTGAGGCAGGACGATAGCAATCTCAGGACCAGCCTGGGCAACTCAGCCAGGCCCTGCCCCAACATAAAATAAAAGGGGCAGATGGAGCTGAATGGTAGATGTCTGCCCAGCTTGCTCGAGATCCTGGGCTCACCCCAGCACTGCAAGATAGAAACAAAACACCCTTGCCGACGCCCAGCTGCCACTGCCAGAGTGTTCTTAAAACACGTGGAATTGAAGAGAGATGAGAGCCTCTTGGCACTTAGGGAATCTCAGAAATGCAGCCAAGTGGTAGATGACTTCGTATCAAGATGCCACTCCCTTCAAAATGCAGGGACAGAAAGAAGCAATGTGACTACTGACAGAACTCAGCTGCAGAGGACATCCCAGGGTAGGGACCTCTGGGGGTCAGGTCTCTGTCTATGGCCCTGGAATGTGGTGACCCAGGGCTGGAGGAGTCCAGCTCTGAAGCTAAGAACCATTGGCTGCTTTCTGGTTTGGGAAATGGAGATCCATCAGCAGCTTGGATCATAAGGTGCCAGGTTCTTGGATAGACTTAAGGTGTCAGGTTCTTGGGTAAACTTTCCTGCCTCAGTTTACCTCACAAATCGGCTATGCTGAATTCTAGTTTGGCGGTATGTTCACTTCACTCTCCCTGGGCCACATGCTCACTCAGAGGAGCCAAGGACCCCAGCCTTGTGACAGCCAGTTCTTCCCTCCCCCACACCCCCAAAGTGTGACCTTGCCACTTCTCCCTGTGCCCCACCCTGGGTGACCTTGTGACTGGCTGACAAAAGGCAAAGGAAGTGAGCTGCCTCCAGCTCTAGGTCCTTGGGGACTCTGCCCTCCTTGGGACACGTCCAGGCTGGCCCAGGGACTCGAGCACAGAGCTACATCCTGCAGGTGTCCCAGCAGGTTGATGCCTGACACCCATGAGGGCCAGCCAGGAGCAGTGAAGGCCCCTGCTGCCCTTGGACTGACCACAGACTCAGAAGAGAGCCTTTCCACACAGGTCAGAACAACCCTGCTGACTCCAGCTAAGCCCTGCTGACCTCCTGCTCATGGGGGTGGTTCCTGACAGTGCGCCCTGCCTGGAGCAAGAGATGACCTGTGCATGACTCTTGGGCTGGACATGTAACTTTTGACCTAGTGGCCTTTCCCTCATGCTACTCCTGACCTTGGGGTTAGATTTATGCAATCCTGCTGGCAGTGTGATTTCAAAGGGCATAAACGTTCTGTAGTTGTTTATGATTTCAAGATAATTCTAGGGCTCTCCTTAGGAAACATAGCAAGAGGAAGCTTCCTGTGTGCCTGCAGATTTTAGGTCCGTGTTGTGCATTATCTGCCTACAACAGCATAGCCTGTGAGCCATTTGTCACTCAACATCCCCAACTAGTCTGTGGGCATGATGCATTAGTCAAAAGACTTTAAATATAATGAATAATTGCTCATATTTTCATACTATATTTTTTTTCTGAGAAGTTCAAAGGAGACAGAACATAAAATATGGATGGTAATCACCCAAGGGTCTAAACATATTTCAGAATCTGTCATGAAGGAAGAGTGTGGGAACAACTGAGGCTTGGGAAAGCTTTACACACTGTGGAGGCGCCGCTGCGGGGCATGCGGGGCTGATCAGACAGGTGCTGCCGCTTGTGGTAAGCTGAGGAACACTCTTCCAAACCACGAGCTCTGCCTCTTCCTTTCCCTACTGACTGCTCCATGCGGACACGTCCCAGGAATCTCGGAAATACCTACAAGTGTTCAAAAAAAATAAGGAGAAAAGCAAAGCCAGGTTTCTGTTTGTCTACATGTGTGACTGGGAAAGCCAGCTGCCGCATCCACTTTGCTGTGGTGGCCCGTGCTGAGTTTCTCTAGCTCAGGTG